TAGCTTAAGTGGAATAGAGCATTACAAGAATTTGTATATATTACAGATCAATGCCTCTGCAGCTCAAGTCTAAGATGTATCAAAATGTAAACCGTGTGACGACACTATATGGCAGTAAATTTGGCTATGTAGACATGCGAAACAGAATGCAAGTTTAGTGTTATAGGAATCATGGTAGACCTTAGGTTTCACAATGCTAAACGTCTGCAATCATACAGCACGGGTCAGGATAATAATCGCCAAGAAGATAAAAGAAAGATGAATGTGATAGTATGGGCTTGCGAGTAGGAGAGAGGAAACCTACATCAAAAGAATAGCAATGCTGGTGAAGGCCACGAGGAAGAGTCCATTCGATGGATGAACGAAATCATAGCAGACTTGCGGGAACCTGGGATATATGAACACCATGCCTTGAATAGAAAAGTCTGGAGATCGTTAATATGAAAGGCGATAGATAAGCAGGAAAATGCGAGCATATGGAAGGGCACGCGCTTGCTGTTGCGTGGTCTATGTTTTTGTGAATCAACCACGACTTTTGTCTGCAACAGTGTAAACCTACAACTGCTGGGTTTCGCGCCAAGTTATTCAACTCGCTCCATGTGAAAAAAAGTGGCAAAAGCAGCAAGTAGCCGTATGGTCTTTTCTCCTCAGTGCAAACAATGCAGCGATGCGAGTCAATTCAGAACTACAAACTACTAGTACACTTGGCGAATCGATAATTCGGGCCGTTTTGTTGTAAAAACATCATCACAATGGCATTTCGCAGTTGTATTTGCAGATTTTTGCAAGGTAATGTAGTTTCACATTAGAGGTCAGTGCTGGGAGTTTTAGAGCTCCGTTAAGAGAAGATTTCTTTCATGCCTTGCCAAAGACACAAGGACAGCGTCTAGGGAAAATATAATTTCTAGCAAGAAAAGGATATTTGAAGTGGCGATTCGAGAAGAGCTACATATTGATGGGTGCAGTTAGATTTCAAATCTGTCTTCTGTAACGAAGCATTCCATTAGTTACAGGTTCTTTTCTACCAAAAACAGCAATTACGGCCTGTCAATAATTGAAGTATAATGTCAAGTTCGACCTGGAATAACGAAGGAGTTACAGTTTGACAAATGTCATTTCCACAATATACACTTTCTGCGCCACCGTTTTGGGCAAAAGTTAAACTTTTGAGCATTTTTCACGGATCTTCCAAGCCATTTTGGAAACAAAAAGACGTTTTAACTTCTTCCCGAGAATTGGTTCGCTGATATGGAGGACAGATTTGGAATCAACGAAACTGCATTTACCAATGTATATTTTTTTTTGGCAACTTCTACCAAATTCATCCCTAATAATTTTCTCTTTACATTGTTGTAGAAGCCTTCTACCTGGCCAATTGTCGAAAGGTAAGCGGAAAACTTTTTTTGTGCGAGATTTGCATGCCATTTCTGGCTGAGCGCAGCCGTCTGGTCTATCTCGTCAGCACTCTTGTATAGTA